TATAATTTTATGTTTATATTTCACAGTTCAGACTTTTATATTGAATTGTTTTGCTGGACGTAAACTCGGTCTGAGATAAAAACTTAAAATGTACAGATATAAATGAGAAGCCTATGTGAATTGTAGGGTTCTCCTTTGGCAGAAACTTGCATAACTGTTCATAAATAGTCTTCAAAATCATTTGTATTATATTTTTAACAAAGTTTCTGAACTATGCAGCTTGAATGTGCACATATTTCAGTGTCAATCTGTTTGTTTATCTGTAGAAATCCAGCCCATTCTGCTGCTTTAGACTTTATATTGCAAACTGATGTTTTGATTTATGAATGTTTAAGATATTGTGATAATTGTGAACACAAGTAACTTTATTCTTACTCTAGGTATAAGGTCTAAATATACAGATTGAATATCACATGGTATTAAACTGTACTTCAGTCTATTTGTTGTTGTTGTTGTTGTTATGTTTACTGAAGTGCACAGAACTGCTTTTATAGATGATAAATGTCATATACGCTCTTGTTTTGCACCAATGGTATTACTGCTGATATCTCCGGACACTATGTGCAATACAGAAAAGATATTTAAATAAAAAAGTACAACATGCACTACTTGTTTGTGTGAACACGGGCTATATTCAAGCATGTGGGCTCATGTTGATGTGGGAAATCAGAGTTTTCCACCAAACCCGCCCTGATCATGTGCTTTTTCAAGGAAGAGTGTGTGATTTTACAGGAAAACAGAGGCAGATATTCATCTCTTCACACACTTGACACTGTTTTTTAGAGCCGATTAGTTTCTTGTTTTGAGTTTTTTTTTACGACACAGAGATTGCGGAGTCTCATTTCACAACCGGACATTAGCAAAACTTCTCGGGGAACGCCGAAATCTCCAGCTGTCTCTCTCTCTCTCTCTTTCTTTCTGTGTGTTTGTTTTATCGTTAGTTTGGGCGAGTGTTCAGGGAATCAGCACACCGCTACAGTCAGATCATTGTGAAGGTAAGCGCTGTTTATTGCGGTTTGCTGTGTAGAAATGAGGAGGTGTTTGTTTGCTGTTTAACATACTGCTTAGTCATTAATCTGCTTTAAGTTGAAAATCTCTGCAAACTGTGGAGGTTTTGACTTGATTCCAGTGTGTGTCGAGTTGAAAATGTAAAGATATCTGCTTATAAAGACGCGCGCGCATGTTCAAGAAAAAAGTTTCTGTACATTCCTTCGCCTGAAGCGAAAGCGTGGACGCTCATGAATATTAATCACGCATTGCTGACGTCGCTTGAAATGATTGGTTCAGTCTTGTGCTTTATGAATATTGATAAGCCAAGCCTTTGCCCCAGGACACTTTTTTTAACTTGTCATTGTTTTCGGTGTAAGGCTCGTCCATTCAGTGTCCAGTCTGTCGTGTAAAGTCCGCCTGCGTCTGAAAGACGTGTCTGACATTAAAAATACAACAAAATCCGGTTTTGTTGACCTTTTTGTTACGTAGCGCAGCGCATCGATGACGTCAGGTTTACGTAACATCAATTGTCTTTTTAATTCCACTTGTATTTGTAAAACTTTTTCCTACAAAAACACCGAGGGATGATTATATATATAGTTTTGAATTTATTTTAATAAATAAGTTGTATTCGTGTTTAATAAAATACATTTTTGAAATGTAATATTTAATATATTTTGAAAATTATATTTCATTAAACTAAATCTATTTCTAAACATATTTTAGAGTGAACAAAATACATTTCCCACCTTGTAAATAATAACACCTGTATTATTTTAAGTATGTTTATTGGTTGAAATGCAGAAAAGATGTTGATAACTTTACGTGTGATCACATTATCTTGGATTGAAATATATGGAGGGTAAAATATATTTTAAAACGAGTTAAAATTGAAAAAAAGAATATATATATATATATATATATATATATATATATATATATATATATATATATATATATATATATATATAT